ATCACTATACTTTTCTTTTCATCATACAGTATTGTGATAAACACACCCTAGGTGATGCACCCCCTTGTATAATTCCCTCTCCTTAAGTAATAGCAGGACCTATGACCTGTTTCTAATCATTAAAATTTGGCTAAAATAATGGGATGCCACTCACTAGCATAATTCATGTTATATAAGACTAATTTATGTGATATTAGATGCAGAACCAAGTAAGAATTTTCTACATTCCAGTGACTCCTAATACATAGCTATTACAAATTAATTCACTCATTCATCAGCACTCATTTATAGAGCATTTTTTTATTAAAATGAGGTAGTTGCAGTGTATCTTAATGATTAAGAACATGGACTCTAGAGTCAAATACCTGTAAAAGTTCATTAGCCTCTGTAATACCTCACCTATAAAATGGGAATATTCATAATACCCACTTAAAAAGATTTTATGAGTATCAAAGGAGATTATGTATACAGAGCACTTGGCACAATGCCTTCCACACAATACAGAGCACTTTTGGCTTCTGTTGTTGTCATTATTATTCATAATATTACTGTTATGCAGAATGAATCAGTTATGGGGGCTCTCCTCCATAAAATTACCACATGGTATTAAATGAGATAATATGTCAAGTACTTGGAATAGTGCCTGGCACATAAAAAACTTTTATATTTATTAGATATTATTATAACTATAATTATTACCCGTCTTCATTATAATAATAGTAGTGTATTAGCACTTATTCTTAGTTATTCTCCTCCTCCTTCTACAAAACAGTAAAATATAAAGTATTATATAAGTAATTAATGTTTTCCTTTGCATTTTGTTTTGGAAATAGTGAGGTAGTGTAGTATTTCCTGATTTATGTGCAACATAAAAAAATAAAATAAATAGAAGACTGTATTCTTAATATAATGACCATACTTTGTGTGCATTTATTTTTTTTCAAGCATGCCAAATGAAAAGACAGAATGAGAAATATTACATTATAAAATATATAATTGAATATGTCTCTATTTAACTAAAGCCGTATTTTCTACTGGCCTAATAATTCTCTTGAATGCATGTAGTAATAACCTGAAAGCTTTGAAAATATTCATAAGAATTATATTTTTGTTTATGATTGTACGATGAACTCTTTTGTTCTGCTAGAAGAGAGACTGGAAAACACAGTGACTCAAGTAAGATAGAAGTTTACTTTTTCACTAAGTTAAAGCTATTGAAATGAGGTAGTACCATTATTCAAGGGTTAAGGTACTTCCATACCTTCCTTTTTAAAAAATTCTCATCCAAGGATACTTTTTTTGTTGATTTTAGAGAGAGAGGAAAAACATTGATGTGAGAGGAGAACACCAATTGGTTGCCTCCTGTATGTGCCCCAATTGGAGATTGAACCCGCAACCTAGGTGTATGCCGTGATTGGGAATCGGACCTTCAACCTCTTGGTGTACTGGATAATGCTCCAACCAACTGAGTCACTTGGTCAGGGTGTAAATTATATTCTTTATCTAAGTCACTTAGTCCATAATGGCTGTCTGAATTATATCATGGTCAAGTTCTAGGGGAAAAGCAAAGGAAAGAGGGAAAGTGGAAAAAGCTACAAGGGGCTGTCCAACCCCTTCTTAGATACCTTCTCTAAATCTTCACACCTATTTTTCTTGCAATCTTTGGTAAGAAATTCCATTACATGGCCATAGCTTACAGTAGGGGAGTCTTGGAAAAATAACATTTTAAGAGTTTACATAATCAACCTGAGTGCAGCTGTGGTTCTTGTAATGAAGAAGAATGCAAAGAGTAGATTTAGGGTCAGCAACTAAAAGTTTCTACTCTCCTAGTCATTATAAATATGTACATGGTGATGAAAAGCATTAATCATGTAACAGAAGTCTATAAAAGATGGAAAGGGGAAAGTTCCTGTAGAGAGAATGCTATGTGTTCACAAAACCCTGCTTCATTCTCCTCGAGTCACAGGAAAACTACCTTCCCCAGCCTCTATGGCAGTTTTAGCTAGTTGACTGTGACCAGCAGTAAAATTTTCCATTCCTGGCCCCTAAATGGTTCCACAGGATTCTCCAACTCCCCTCTTTATAATATTGCTAGCCAGGTACAAAGAATGCAATGGAGGACTTCCAGGCCAAAGAAGATGGTAGAGCTGTAGAACTGAAGAAGTTTGAGTCTCTTAATGACTGTTTGGAACAGAGAACCTTTGCCTTCTCTGACCACTTGATGAAGTACATTGAACTTTGACATCAGCAAAACAATCTTTTAAGGCTGAACCTCTGAGGTTTATTCGTTATTTATTGCATAAAACATCGCATATAATTACTAGAGCCCTAACTAATACACCAGCCTAGAGATAATCTTCTTTATTTATTGGTATTTATTATTCCAATATTAATGCTTGTATAAAGACTAAAGGCCCAGTGCATAAAATTCATGCACAGGGGGAGGGGTGTGTGTCCCTTAGCCCAGCCTGCACCCTCTCAATCTGGGACCCTCAGGTCTAAACGGGCAGTCAGACATCCCTCTCACAATCCGGGACTGCTGGCTCCCAACCGCTCGCCTGCCTGCCTGCCTGATTGCCCCTAACTGCTTCTGCCTGCCAGGCTGATCACCCCCTAACCACTCCCCTGCCAGCCTGATAGAAGCCTAACTGTTCCCCTCCTGGCCCGATTGCCCCCAACTGCCCTACCCTGCTTGCCTGGTCACCCCTAACTACCCTCCCTTGCAGGCCTGGTCCCTCCCAACTGCCCTCCCCTGCTGGCCTGATGGCCCACAACTGCCCTCCCCTGCAGGCCTGGGCTCCTCCCAACTGCCCTCCCCTGCAGGCCTGGTCTCTCACAACTGCCCTCCCCTGCTGGCCTGATGGCCCACAACTGCTCTCCCCTGCAGGCCTGGGCTCCTCCCAACTGCCCTCCCCTGCAGGCCTGGTCCCTCACAACTGCCCTCCCCTGCTGGCCTGATGGCCTACAACTGCCCTCCCCTGCTGGCCATCTTGTGGTGGCCATCTTGTGTCCACATGGGGGTGGCCATCTTTGATCACATAGGGTGGCCATCTTGTGTGTTGGAGTGATGGTCAATTTGCATATTACTCTTTATTATATAGGTTATATTTTTTACTCTATATATGTATATATGTAATATATACATATATTATATATATTATATAACACACAGGTACTTCATCCCCAAATATTTTCATTACCAAAATTAGCACTAATGGTATTTAAAATTGGCTTTCTAAGTTAAATCAGAAATCTAAGTTTAAATTTAACATGGTAGAATTTTAATGAACAAAATTTGCAAAATTTATTTTAGACATACATATAAACAAAGGTGTGTAAATTTTTAAAAATTAATTTCCTACATTGAATTGCCTGAGTGGAAAATGACAACAAAACATAAGAAGAAGGAATTACTAATTTTTAAAAAAATATATTTTATTGATTTTTTACAGAGAGGAAGGGAGAGGGATAGAGACTCAGAAACATCGATGAGAGAGAAACATTGATCAGTTGCCTCCTGCACACCCCCTACTGGAGATGTGCCTGCAACCAAGGTACATGCCCTTGGCCAGAATCGAACCTGGGACCCTTCAGTCCGCAGGCCAACACTCTATCCACTGAGCCAAACCGGTTAGGGTGGAATTACTAATTATTGATGAGGGTATGTGAAATGTGTACTTTATTGCCAAACCAGTAATTTTCAGCCTTTAGTTGGAAACATCCAAGTTTGTGAAGAAATCTGTGAAACTTTCCTGAAGCATTTAAGAGAAGAAATGAATAAAAGGAGAGACTATCATGTACTGGGAACATAAAAAAAAATATTACAAATGAGTAGTTCTTCATAAAATAATGTACATTTTTAGTGCAATCCCAATCAGCAGTCTTAGTGAGCTATTTTAATGCAGCATGTGCAACTGGGTTTTAAATTTACCTGCAGAGGTAAAATGCCAGATAAGGCAAGGAAAAATATGGAAGGAATATTTTAAACTAGTTTTTTTATTTTTTAATAAAGGAATTTGCTACCACTTTTTACCAGGAAATTACACATTCTAAAGATCTGAATGGAAATTAAACAGACACTTGTTGCCATTTCACTTTTAACTTCCTTAAGGAACATTTTCTACCCTTTAACACTTCAGCAGTTTAACTTGGCTGTTGTCCCTCCTCCAATTCAGGGAGAGGCCTTCTGTCTTCCCCATCACAAGGAGGAGGCGGAGCATTCTCTCAGAAGCATTCTTGGTGGAGGGACTGCATTTCAGGAGGCTGCAGCTGACAAAAAGCTTCAAGGTAATGACTGTCTTAAATCTAGTTCTTTTTCAGGGGACTTCTCAGGGCCCAAGAGTAAAGATGAGAAAAATAGGAATGGTGGTCTTAAAGTGGTGAGAACAGTGTGTGGTTTTGAAAGAATTTCTGGCATTTTGAAGGAATTAATCCTTTAGCATTTCTGTATCTCCCAATGCATTAAAAATCTACAGTGGGAGAAGAAGTGATCAGATTACAGCCTCTATATTAAGATTTCAGTGCAGTATAGCCATTCATGCTAATTTATTGACTTGGCATTCCATGTTTATGTTGCTGGAATTTTGTTACTACTTGAATTTTTAAGCATTTTTACTTTACACAGAAAATGATGGATAAAATATGTGACAGCATGGGAGAGAATACTCTTATGAATTGATAGAAAGGCTATATGTCACCTGTATATGAACATGGAAAGGGTAACAGATATGTAGTTGACTGAAGACACTTGTACATACATATGCATATATATGTGTGATTAGAAAAAAACCTGGGAGAAAATAAACTCCCATGTTAGTCAGCATTTCTCAGTGGTCAGGTTAGCCCATTGCAGCATCTTTAGAGTATATTTCCCCATGATTATTTTTATAACCATGAAAGAAAAGTGAAGCTGAAACAACATATCCATTTTGTTTAAAACACATAAGCATTCATAGACATATGCAGCTGTGCAAACATCCTCCTTTTGTCTTTTTGCCAATAGTGGGCATTTTCCTGGACCTGATCAAGTGTGTAGCCTAATTGCTGTGTTGGCTACAGCCCTGAATGTGTCCTCGCAACTCATTCTTTCAAATCACAGGTATGGCTTTGGTCAGCAAGAACCATTTTTCTATATATTTTAAGAGTGAGATAGAGAAAGAACTTTATTTCTACAAGCAGTTTTTAAAACATTGTATGGAATGATATAACCATACAGTAGAATATTATATATCTGGAGAATAGAAATTTGTAGTGATTTGAAATGTCTGATAAGTAGTATAAAGTGAAAAAATGAAATTATAACATAGCATTTATTATATGATCTCACTTAAAAATAAATATGTATGTTAGTAAAACATAGGTATGTTACTACAGTATATGCAACCAAATCTGGGAGCACATATCTGCCACACTATTAATAGGATCATTTGTGTAGCTGGAAAAACAGAGCTAGCTTTATTACTATTTAAAATAGTATTAATATATACTTATTTATTTACTTGGTTTACATTATTAGGTAAAACACTGAGATAAAATATTGTAAATGTGGGAAAAATATAAAGTAATTCATAAAAATCATGTGGGAAATATTTACATAGGATGATGTTCAAAATATGTTCTTAATTGAGATCTGATGTTGGTTTGAAAATATTTATTTCTATATGCAAATAATTCTGATATTATAGAAAATATTCACAGTGATTATTTGTAGAGTTGTACTTTATTTTGTATATATCTCTCTGCACTTTTCAATTTTTAATAAGCTTCTGGATATTTTTTATAGTCACAAACATTGTAATTGAAGACATTATGACCCTGTTATAATCTGACAAAGCAAAAGCCTTGAACTTAGAATAGAAAATTCTAGAAGCCTGGGGAGGCATCTGACTGGCTAAATGTAGTTCATTTTCTTCTCATAAAAAGGATCTGATCATGATTGAAGCCCTGCGTATGCCTCCCATGGAGTCTGCAGTTCTGATTCTGGTCACAAGATGGGGCTTCCCAGGTTTACTACATTTTCTTCAGGCAACCATTTTTATGAAAGTGGGAAACAAAGCAATGAATCATATTTTTGTATTAGTGGACTATGAGACAGCATGTAGAGTATTATTAAAATTCCAATGAAAAAAATTATTTTGCAAAGAAGGAAAAATCCACATATTGATTGATGTTCAGATTCAAGCAAAATCTATAGTCTTGTTCATAATAGACACAAGGCAATTTGTTACTTCCCTTCTCTCTTATCCCCAGCTCACAGTTTTCTAGTCATAAAGATCATCTCACATTAACCAAATAAACTGTGTCACAAAGAGAATTTAAAACTAAAAAGGAGGAAAATAAATATGGCATCTATATCACAGATGAGATTTTATCTCATTCCTGTGTTTCAGAATGGCATGCCTTCTAAAGTTTGGGCAGGAAAGTTTCAATATGTTTTTTCCATTTGTTTGGTTTGAATTTCTATCTCCTTTTGTATAGCCTTTCTTCTTTTCAAGTGAGAATCAAGACAACTGGGCCACAAGACCAGATCCTCTATGACACATGTGACACTGGCTAAGGCTCTTCCCATTTCACAAAATATTTCACATTAAAAACTTGTTGAGAACTTGAGTTAGAATTTATTTTGCTTCCTTCTCTGCAGCATAATATTTTAACACTCACATGAAGATGTTTTTATTGACTTTTTTCAGAGAGAGAGAGAGAGAAATATCGAGAGAGAGAGAAATGTCTTACAGTATCAAACCTGCAACCTAGGTATGTACCCTGACTGGGAATCAGACCCACAATCTTTTAGTATACAGTTCAATACTCCAACCAACTGAGCCACCCAGCCAGGGCTGCAGCCATAGAATTTTTAATTAGAAGCTATATTTCATACTAAAACCATGTTAGATTGAAAATTTGAAGTATAATTTATTTTGTTCCCTTATAATTTATTTTGTTCTATAGCCATAATATTGTGTAATTGAAAATCATCACTTCTATCCCAGTAGGTGTGACTCAGTGATTATATGTTGACCTATGAACCAGGAGGTCACCGTTCTATTCCAGGTCAGAGCACTTGCTTGGGTTGTGGGTTCGATCTCCAGTAGGGGCCATACAGAAGGCAGCCTATCAATGATTCTCTCTTCATTGGCATTTCTATCTCTCTATCCTTCTCTGAAGTCAATAAAAATATTATTTTTAAAAATAAAAATGAAAGTTATCAATTCTAGTTTGTGAGAAGAATCTCATGTTGAACCACTATGAAGAAATTGTGCAAGAGGATATTCAGATTTCTACCTGAGTTTTACCCACCTTACTCTCAATAAATCTTTGCTAACTATCCTACCCAATTAGTAAACATAGCAACCATTCTGAATCTCTGCCTTCTAAGCTCATGCTTTTAACAAGGTCATGTGTTATTGTCTGGGCCAAGGAGATGCATACTTTGCTTGCTTTGGGTAAATAGGAAAGTATTTATACCTTGAAAATTATAAAACCATGTCTTTATCCAGAACAATGATTCTAAAGTTCTTGGACAAGTTGCAATAGAATCACTTGAGAACTGAGAAATACAAAATGTTGGATCCTATTTAGAATCTTCTGGATAAAACTATCAGGATAAGGCCTAGAAATACAGTTTTATGAAGACCTCTAGATGATTCTGATGCATGCAAATTTGGAGTCCTGCTGCCTTAGAAATAACAGTAGAGACATAAATGTCCCAAAGGAGTTAATAACATAGAGTCCCTGACTTACCACTACAACCTTTCCCACCTCTGCCAGCAAGTACACTGATTCAGTCCTTAATAATCAAGTGCAAAATTGTAAGGACAAGTTCTTGAATTTGAGGTATTATAAACCACTTCTTCAATTTTACCCTCACTTTACATTATGCTGCATTTTCCCCTCCATATTATGCCCCACTGAGGATTATTCTTTCTTTTATCTCTGTTTGTAATCGCTCACCTTCCACTTTGGCAAAATAACCTTGTTTGCTGATAATTTTCTTCTTTTCCTTTTCCCTATTGCAGTATCTCTCATATTGTCCCATTTAAGCAACGGGCTCAAGCATCTTTGGGAAATTCTGCTGGAAGAGAACAGACCAAAAAAGCTATAAACATTTGGTAATTCTAAGACAAAGGAGATTTTGGTGAGAGTGTTGTTTTGGGTAGGAACTGCCTTAATATTGACAAGAATAGTCATTCACCTCAGTCTCTGATAATTAACAAATCTAAGTCGTAATGGATGCTGAGTACGTCTTATGCAATTGGAAAGACCAGTTATGGCCAGCAAAAGTTTTGTCCAGATGTGAGACTTCATCAAACAGTAAGAGAAAAAAGACATTTTCCCTAGAAGTTCAAATACTCTCAGTAAATGAAAAAATTAAAGTGGAAAGCAAGGAAACAAAGATCCTAACTAAATCTCAAATTGAAGCCATTGCCTCCTCACTAGCAGCACAGTCAGAGGGCAGTTATCCACCTAGAGAGGAAACAGCTTATGCAAGGTCACTAAAAATGGCACTGGGTATTCTGAATAAGAGAACAAATTTGAATCAATCAAGCAGTTCAGATGAAGAAGAGACCACTACACTGTCTCAAAATGTACCACAAAAGCTTTCTAATTCACCCCCTCGTAAAAAGTATCGGAAGCCTAAAGGAAACTTATCGAAGTGTCTTGAAGAAAGTGAAATTCCAACATTTCTGTTAGTATCTTCAGAGAGTGATGATTCCTTGTATGATGATAAATCACAAGTGCATGCAACCATTGATACTATCCCAAGTGAGATGGAAACAAAATCATCACAAAACTCCAGCTGGTGCCAAATTTTCCCTCCACTTTCAGAAGAGGATGAAAAGGAGAGCAAGAAAAAGATTGACATCCCAACAATTACGCCTTTGGATTCTACAATCAAAGAGGAAGGTGCTTATGTTAAAGAAGAGAAGTTCACTCCAACTTCACCACCAGATATCTTCATTTTGCCAAAAAGTTTGAAAGAGGAGCCAGAAGACCTCTGCCCAAAGACACTGGTCATTTCCTCTGAATGCTCTGCCTTCTTAGAGAATATTGAGGATCCTGGAGAGGGTCCCTCGAATTCATGCTTAGATACAAGCCAGAATCAGCCTGTAGAATCAGAGACAGGTGCTCTGGCATCCCCCAGTTATTGTTCATGGGAATGTCAGGTTTCATTTAGTGCCTCTAACCGTGTCATGGATTGTTCACTCCGTGGGAATAATGAAAGAAGTGGCCAGAATCCGGATTTTGAGGAACATGGAGAAGAACTCCAAGCTTCTGATAAGTCGGTGCCTCTAAATCCTGTTGATACTTCTGCATTAGATGACGATGAGGAAGACGAAGTACTTCCACCAGTTGTTTTTCACTATGAGCCACGTTCATTTGAAGCAGGAATGATAGTCTGGTTTAAATATAAAAAATATCCATTTTGGCCAGCCATAGTAAAAAGCATCAGGAGAAAAGAGAAAAAAGCAAGTGTGATTTTTGTTGAGGCAAACATGAATCGTGAAAAGAGAGGCATTAGAGTGCTTTTGAGAAGATTAAAAAAATTTGATTGTAAAGAGAAACAAGCACTAGTGGATAAAGCCAGGGAGGATTACAGTGAAAGTATTGACTGGTGTATCTCACTGATTTGTGACTACAGAGTTAGACTAGGTTGTGGTTCTTTTACAGGCTCTTTCCTTGAGTATTATGCTGCTGACATTAGTTATCCAATCAGGAAAGTAATCAGACAAGATACCTTCAGGAACTTATTTCCAAAGCTGCATAATGAAGATTCTATGGAACCGATGGCCATGACTTCCCAGACCAAAAGAATGTCCTTCAAAAAAATTCTCCCTGACCGAATGAAGTCGGCTCGGGACCGAGCCAACAGGAATCTAGTGGACTTCATTGTGAATGCAAAAGGAGCAGAAAACCATCTTCTGTCCATTTTAAATGGCACAAAAGCATCCAAGTGGCTGAAATCATTTTTGAAAGCAAAGAGGTTCACTCCCTGTATTGAAACATACTTCGAAGATGAAGATCAGTTGGATGAGGTAGTGCAATATTTACAAGAAATCTACAAAAAAATAGACGAAAGAATGCTAGCTCGGATAAGAGATGATAAAATTAAATTTATCCTAGAAGTTCTTCTGCCAGAAGCAATCATCTGTTCAATTTCTGCTGTTGATGGATTGGATTACAAGGAAGCTGAAGCAAAGTATCTAAAAGGACCATCTCTAGGATACAGGGAAAGAGAGTTATTTGATTCAAAAATCCTATTTGAAAAGAGACGGAAGCCATCAACAAAACAAGCTCACTAAATCACCTGCATGTCCAAATCATAACAGGGAGCTTTCATAGATATTAGTTTAAAAAATCCCCCTAACATATTTTCCAGAAACAGGAGGCTTTAGGTAATATGTTCAGGTTTTGTTGTATGTGGTTTTTTGGCATCTCTATGATCTGTCAATATTACTACATCAACATTTTCTTTCTTACACTTCTTTAAAGTCAATTTTATTATATTTCAGCAGTTCTACTATCTCACACATTTTTAGAATTCATAATTCCTAAATAATTTTTAAGAGAAAGTACTATTTTGTTTTTTGACATCTTTGTGTCTATGCTGTATAGTTAAATACAGGGTACACAATCATTTGCATATGAAATTTGCACTAGTATTAGATAGTAAGCGAGATGATTAGAAAAAAAAGTCTAAGGAACATTGATTATATTATATATTTTTGCTTAGTTTTTATAAAATATTGGGTTTCTCCTAAGATAGTTGAATTATTTTTTCTGCCATGCCTATTTATTTTTGGAAAAAAATATCTGAGACATAGAACCAAAGATAGAGATGCTTTGCTATATATTATTACTAACTGTAATTGCTTTTGCAAGAAAATCTGGAATTCAAAAATAAAGTAAATGGATTACCTGCATGCAGTCTATATGTGTGAGAATAACATCTCAGCATGCAGAAAATAAGTTTGGCAGCCTGGAACAGGATTGTTCATTCTACACTTCCCTGAAATTCCATTTGTGGAGTGTCTATTATTCAGTAAGTCAGTGGTTTCTTAAACAGACAGGCTTTTGGCTGTCATCATAACTAACAGTATCTGTATCTAAATATGGCCATCTGACCACATGTGGATGACAGCTAGAGTCATTGTATTCATAGCCTGGCTACTCTAGAGCATGAGTCCAGGCTGATTACTTAAGAACCCATCTAGTTTGTTATAAACCGTAGAAAATGCAAACATTTTGTTCTGACTATAGTATCTCTAAATATATAGTCATTTGTTTCAAACCAAACACTCTGTATATTAGTAAAATAGTTCCAGTTGATTTCAACAATATAAATACCAACTGGTAAGTCATTCCAGGCTAAAACAAAGAGTAGATGGACCAGAATCTGTGAGTTTGGAAATGAGTCATAGAAAAGGCCTCCATTTGGCCAAATGTGACAATTATCCAAATATATTTAAAAGTACACAGCTGACAGTTGAAGTCTGAAACCAATGAAAAGCTTATTCTAACTTGAAATAAGACTTTAGTGAAAATAAATGTTATAAGGGCTACTTTATTTTAGAAACTTGACATAAAAATAAACACTAAAGGCTTAACATGAACTTGTCTGCATTTTTATTCTTAGAGTGAGACAACTGTTACTCTTAGGCTTTTGTTATATGTTTTCATGGCCACATATTTATGTAAAATTTTCAAAAGTTTGACGTTTCATTTGTAATAAAACCATTAAATCTTTCATTTTGAATGTTCACTTAATCATACTTCAGATCATGTAGTTACATAACTGGTGTTTCTCTGTTTGGAATTTTGCTTGTTGTAGTTGTCTTCATTTTAATGCTTGTTATACATTATCTTATCATTCTAAATAAATATTCACTTTCATGTTTGATTTTGTATTATTTTAAAATAAAGCCTTCCAAATTGCATAAGCTTTAGATTCCATAGAACCTTCTCTTGGTCTGCCTGATAAAGACCGAGACTGTTTTAACATAACTGTATCAATCCACATAACTTCCTTATGATCTTGAGGAGTATTTGACAACAGACCATCACCACACTATATGTGGGACTCATCTCATACACTGGGAAAACACACTATATGTACTCTATAGTATTCCCTTTGATTCCAATATATTGCCCACCTTTTGTTTTCTCAGTGGAGCCATTTCTATCTTTTGTTTCTGATATTATCTTTACTACCTCATTTGTGTATTCACTCATTCATACATTTGATAGGAGAGCAAGCAATGGTTTAAAGCTCTGCTCTGCTCTAAGTATTTAAGGTGACCCAAATGATAAGGCCAGATTTAAAGTGATCCAGGTGACAATCTAATTTATAAAAGCACTAGGATGCACTACTTTATCATAATAGTGAGTAATATTTATTAATCTCATTGCCTGTATTTGAAAACCAGAGTGCCAGGCTTCCCCACATTTGTGAGTTATTGGGTTTGGGGTAAAAGGTAAGTTGCCTGATTCCTCATGGTATGTCATTTATATTGTGGCATATATTGAAGTGAGGGAGATGTATCTCAGATATGCATCTATTTTCCTCTTTGCATGAGTTGGTGTTTGGGGTGTGGGAGTGGATGAGTTTGGCTTCCCACTCAGTATGGATTCTGAGATCCCTTTCAGCCTGAGTGGTTGAGGCCAGCTCTAAGAATGCTTTAATCTGAATCTTTAACCTACATTTGTATGTCTGATGAGCATGCCAACCTAATTCATTGGATTAAAGAGACCCCATCTCTTCCAATCATAAGGCAAATTGTCTAATATCAGGCCCATATTATAATTGAAAGTTTGGCAGAGAAGCATGGAAACTATTCACAACATTCACAGGTCTCTATATCAATATATGTGTCCTAATAAGGAAAGAGTACAATTCTGAGACCTATAATAGTGATGGGTGTGAAAATCTTGGATATATACAGTCCCAACTCCTCAGCCAGCCAAAAACAACCCCTAACCCTTGCTATTAGAAAACAGCTTTCTTCTTCATGGAGACAAGGCAATAACCTCATCTAAGGCAGCTACCTCAAAGGACATTATTGTCTTAACGTCCAGCACATATTTTTCATTGATCCCAATTCATGACAAGGGTAAGGTATCACGACACCAAAAGCAAAATGCAGTCTGTTTAGGTGGAATATCCTAACCTAGTTAAAATATACCAGCATGTTTTGGAATGGATTTTGAGGATGTCAAATTAGCAACGGATTATAAGCAGATATAGGGGAAAATTTACATGGGAGCACACATTTGTGACTGCTAGGTGGCATCTTTAAGTCTGGACAACAGCCTATAGTCAATAAAATGGAGATACTGGAACTTCTTTGCCAGAGTATTGAGGAATTGGTGAGAAGGTCAAATGAAATGAGGGTAGTAGAAATGAATCAAGAGGACCAATCTCTATTTTCCCCTGGAGGGCAGAGAAAGCACTACTATAATAGTGAGGGGGGAACATACATTTTTAGTAGCTCAGTGTTGGTACTCCTCTACAAATCATGATTAGAAGCAAACTATGTTACAATAGGAATTCTAGGATTCCAGAATGACAGGGTCCAGGTGGCGGAATAAAAGCTCAGGGACAAGTTGAGTGTCATTACCATAATGAGAAGTAAGGTCAGAGTGGAGTCAGGCTACTGTGACTGACAGAAATATGTGGCAATGCCTTACAAATGGAATTCCGAGGCTAAATGTATGGACAATTGGCTAGAGTATTAGCTATGTTCATAGTTTTGCTATTTACAATAGTTAAGATGGAGAAACAGTCCAAGGGCCCTTCAGTAGATGAGTGGATAAAAAAGCTGTGGTACATATACACAATGGAATACTATTCAGCTGTAAAAATGAAGGCTCTCTTACCTTTTGAGATAACATGGAAGGACCTGGAAAGTATTATGTTAAGCAAATTAAGCCAGTCAGAGAAAAATATCACATTATCTCACTTATATGTGGAATCTGATGAGCAAAATAAACTGACAAAATAGAGCCAGAGCCATGGATGCATGGAGCAGACTGACAGATATCAGCGGGAAGGGCAGTGGGGACAGGTGGGAGGAGATTAAGCAAAAAAACATATGCATATATGCAGAGCCCATGAACACAGACAATAATTCGGTGAAGGCCTGTGGCAGCAGCAGAGCTGGGTAAAGGGGTGCAAAATGGGAGGTATATGGGGGACATTTGTAATACTGTCAACAATAAAAAAAATAAATTTTAAAAAATTGGGGAGAAAAAGAAAAACAGCCTTGGCAAGTTAAAGTCTAAAGTCAGCAGTTTGGTGGAAAATCTTGGCCCCCAACTTAATTTTTTTTTTCAGATATGTGGTGCAAGTAGCCTTGCCACTCAGACCATATGACTCAGCACATTCTGATAGTGTCTTAAGGTATCTATGGTGAATAAGGATCCACTAACTAGTCATTCTAAGCCAGCCGTGGGCAAACTACGGGCAGCGGGCCGGATCCGGCCCGTTTGAAATGAATAAAACTATTGAAAAAAAAGACTGTACCCTTTTATATAATGATGTTTACTTTGAATTTATATCAGTTCACACAAACACTCCATCCATGCTTTTGTTCCGGCCCTCCAGTCCAGTTTAAGAACCCATTGTGGCCCTCGAGTCAAAAAGTTTGCCCACCCCTGTTCTAAGCCATAATATGGCATTGCAACACAGAATCTAAAGTTCTGAACAAAAGCCATACTTCCTGGGCCAGTAACCTACTTGTCATGTAAAAAAACAGCTCCTTGATACTATTTAGAATTAGTAGATATGGAGGGCCTAACCAAGGTACAGTAATTGACTATATGATAGGCATTGCCCATTATACACTGTACATTTTGACATTCACCGAGTGATAAGGTCTGGCAGCATTAGGAGCAGTCCAGTCTGTGATGGTAATACAACACTCAAGATCTAGCCTAAGAAGTCACAAATAATGATTGCACAAACTTCCATGCCATTGAACTTTGTTGCAATGATACCCTCATGGAGAAGGGGGTGATCTATGACCGACTATTTAAAGAGAAATTTATCAAGTCTGGTGCACAGATGTGTCAGCATTAAATGGATGATAGCTTTAAGTGTACTGCCACCCCACTTCAGCTTCAGTTGGAGTAGCCCTAAAGAATAATATTGAACATATAATTCCCAGTTGGCAGAGCTGTGATAATTACACCTGGTGTTTCAGTTTGATGGAGGGAGCTGTGACCTGAGATGGTCTCCTGGACTGTGGAGAACAATTTGGTTGGTATGCCATGGTATTGGAAAGAGAGTATTATAAATGAAAGATAAGAAAGTTTGGATAAGAGGCATGTGGATGTAACTATGGGAATGGAAACAAAGAATATATATCTCTATGCCTCATTGTAATGGCTATTCAAAGGATTGTAGAGAAGACATTTAAAAACCCAAGTGGATCTGATGGCTCATGCTGTGAATATCAAAGAGCTTCTCTTCTTAGTCATCTTAGTTCTGGCACAATAGATCCATGAATTGTCATGGGGCAGGCATGTATAAAGCCTAAGCTTGAGCTCAACAGCATTGGCTTTCTCTCACAAAGGTGATCAGGCTGCCGCCGCTAGATGTGTATCTCTCCAAGAGCAACAGCTGATGCTGGGCCCTTCATTCTGCACCTTCCTTCAAGGATATCATCCAGCTACCTCATTCCACATTGAATGCACTGAACCCATTCTATCTTAGCGGTGGCAGTTATTCATCCTCACAAGAATAGATACAAATTTTGGACCCATAGGATCAAGCACGCTTGCTTATAGTGGTGTGCATTTCATAACACAACCTTGTTTCACTTTTCCTCCTACATTGTTCCACCATTCATTTTCCTCACTAGAACCACTTGCCAAAAGAACTACTCACATGGAAACTCCTGTATCACATTCTTTTTTTGTAGACACTTCGGCTATTATCACCAGCAATAATTATGTGTATGTTTTATAAGACATAAGTTGGTATCACTATATCAAAAATGTATTAAAGATTTAAGAATTATTCATAAATGTTAAAAGTTAGTAAATTTTCCAGTTCTTGGTAAGATACATTTTCTGCTATTCCTCCTGACAAAATCAATAACCTGTTTTCACCTAGGAAACTAGACAAAGCACATTAGATGTAAAACAACAAGAAGAGAGGAAGTAAATAGCAAAGCAGAAATTAACAAAATTGAAAACAGAAAACAATAGAGTAAATCAATGAAACCTGCAGCTGCTTCTTTGAAAAGACCAATAAATTTATTAATACTTTAGCCACAGTAACCAAGAAAAATAGAAAAGGAAGACACAAATGACCAATATCCTAATATATAAAAAGCCAGGGGCCATAACGACCAAAATGACTGAAAGGACAACTGAACAGCAGGCTAGGCAGTTGAGGGAGCGGGACGAACAGTCACCATGAGGGGGACTCCCACCTAGATTGGGGGCATGGCTGGCCTTCAAACCACCAGCAGCCCCTAGCCCAGGCCGGCCAGCACCCCAGAAGGGACCCCCACCACAACTGGGGGCATGGCTAGCCTTCAAACCGTGAGCAGCCCCTAGCCCAGGCCAGCCAGTGCCCCAGAGGGGACCCCTGCCACAATCAGGGTCATGACTGTCTTTCAAACCACTGGGTTCCCCTAGTCCAGGGAGGCCTCTAGCCAAGGACGCCTGTGTCTGTTCTGGACCTAGGGCTGTGCTCTCCCTGCGAGCAACTCAGAAGCCACC